TATGGTAGAATCCTTGGAATTCTCCAGGCTTGGGAATTCTGGATGTGGCAGTCCCATCCTATCTGGAGAACATTAGCCTAACATATTAAACTGGCAATACTCCTGTCTCTCCTCGGTATTTAAAAGGTTGTTGTGATGCTAAAATAGGGAGATGTAGGTACATTGCTCTGGACTCGGGAATGAAGAACAGTCTAAATCTGTATATGAAAATAAAATACACCTTGGCTTTTTAAGGTCTAGTTAGAACTGGGCGAGTGCTGAGTTTGTGAATGATTGGAAGTGCTTTGGTGTGTCAAAGGTGGGTCACCTGTTAATGAGATCAGCATGCTCAGTGAATAAATGAACGGAGTCTTTGACACTGTAGAAGTACCTAAGTTAACATAAATGGACATGGGTGAGAGCCCAGTCTCAGAAACCATTGGCATCAAATGAGTGCTGTGCTAATCTGAAGCACACCAACCACAGGATTTCAAATGGCCACAAAACGCATTGAGAAAAAACGCATTGAGAAACCTTCCACCATTAAAGCCCTGTGTAGAGAAATTTTTTTTTTTTTTTTAAAGGTTTCTTGTTGGCATGGATTGCTTGGCTGTTTTAGCAGGCTGACAGTCACTAACCTGTGGTCTGTTCCACCCGTCTCCTCTATAAGCTTTCAAGAGTTCCTTACAGGTTAGAAAAGCCAGTACAGTTTTGGCAACATGTTCCCTTCTAAGTTAGCCTTGGATGCTAAAACATTTCTCAGAATGTTGGATTGGCCCTTTGATACAGCATTCATCTAAAGACCTTCAAGCCAACAGCATGTATGGGAAATACTATATATGTTTCCCAACATCCTTTGAAACTTGCTAGAAACTTATTAATAAAAAAATTGTGCATGCATTTATGCATGAGCAGGCCCAAGCAGTAGTGGTTCAATGAAGGGTCTTCTTTAGCTGGCCTAATGAATGGCATCTTGTTTCATCTGGCCCTCCTCCTTTTCTACTGCCTCCTGCAAGGAGATATCAAACATTACTGCCTTCTCACTTCCCTCTGGTAGCTTTTAAGATTGCATTGCTTGCTTAAAATTAATTGGCAATCGGACTCCCACTCAACTTAAAAGAGGGTTTAACCCTTTTTGAGAATTCATACTGAACACTTGAAAAAGGCCCACTATTTTCCCCCACCTTCAGTCACGTTCTTGCTTCCTTGAAGCAAGGGGAGCTGAAAAATGGTGTTGGTTAAGAATTGAACTGGAGACAGCTTGCCAATTTTTACAACTAAAGCTGAAAGCTTAACTGTGTGAAGATAGCTCTTTGATGCCACAATCCCAAAGAATGATGTGTTTCTCTGGGAAAATGCCACCTTGTATAAAATGGTGCTGTTTCAGATATTTGGCCACTGTAGGAAACTGCTTCTACAGTGGAGGTTCTTTCTCAGCCTTCAAAGAAGGACAAGTGAGGAGTGTTAAAAGTCAACTGAATGGTTGGAGGGAGTTTTTGTTTGAAGCAAAAAGTATCTAAAGATATTCCTCCCACAGACAAGTGTGTATCTTCTGGAAAGTATAGAAATGTGGGAAGTGCTCTGTTTTAAATGAGATGTCTTTGATGGATTTGTTTCAGCATATTTATGTAACCATTTATCGGCAACACCACTACACAGACTCATTTGATCTCCATTGTTTTAGAAGTGCATCATCAAAACCCAAAAAGAGGTGAAGAGGAATTAATTTCTCTACAGCAGAGTGTAGTCTAACTACATTTTGCTTCAACTGCACAACAAAAACTACCCATCTCTTAATGATCACCCAATAAATAAAATCACCCAATTGCATCCACAGGGGGAGGTGGGGTGGGGTGGGGTGGGGGTCAAAAAAATAAAAGAAAAAAGGCAATTGTGGTAGTCATCCTGATATTTTATCTCCCCCCGCCCCGCAAATGCCTCTGAATGTACCCATCTACCAACTCTCACATTTGCATTAAAACCATCATTGAGACACGATACTGGAATTGCTTGTTATTGCTGCATTTTACTAGATGCTTGATAAATATCCAACATGAGTTTCTCTGCCTGTGCTGATATAGCTACAATTATATATAATGTACATACAATTGTATAATGCATATTAATAATATATTCTACTGAGAATGGGATTCTCTAAGGTGCCAAATGCAGGCGAATACATCAGCAATCCTGTTCCTTACTAAAGCAATGCATTGCTGTTAAGTAGTCTGATTCCTGCTTCTCTTGTGTCGAAGCACAGATCTGTCAGTTTTAATATGTGTACAGAGCATGATTTAAAAATAAATGTTCAAATAATCCTATTTTAGAAAAACCACATTTCAACATTTTATAAAAGTCATGTATTTGCCACAGTTTCTGCTGTAGGGAAACAATGGTGACCATACAGTCCAGTTCTAACTTTGCATGAAAAGGTGATAATTTGTCTTGGTGAACTCTTGATGGATGGTATTGAGCAAGTTGTCAGAATCCTGCATCATCTCTGGCAGGAGTGGTTGGCCAGACAGGAAACTCTGTTCTGGTGTATATGTGAAGCTGAAAGTGCTAGAATAAATCAGACCATCATTCCTTAATAGCAGAAGGGGGACAGTGATTGGGTATCGCAACCACCTCCAGTCATGGCTGAATGCAGAGACATCAGGAACAACACACACTAACGACTTGGAATTCCTAAACAAAGAAATACATATTTGTTTGTGTGTGTGTGCACGTACATACCCACAATATGTGCCTTTTCTCCTCTCCCTCCACCATATTAGAACAGAATAATCAGTATGGAAGGCTAAAGAAAGGCTCAATAGATTTTTCAGGCAGTTAAACTGGGGCAGTGATTATGATCAGTGGTTTGCGCAAAAAAATCTGGACAGTATGGGTTTCAGTCATGATGCTCTCTGATTAATCTTGGGCTAATCTTTATCTCTAAGGCTAACCTCGCATGCAGTGTTGTCATGAGGATGAAAATGAGATAGCTCGATATACTTCGTCTTGATTATCTTGCAAAAGTACTTTATCTGTGAGAGCTAGTTCTGGCAAAGTCAGAAGCAAATAGTCTGAACCTAGACTTACTTGCTATAGTAACTAGAATGGATAGAAACCCTTCTCCCATTCAGAAGTAAGAGACCTTGATCTATGGAATAGTGGCTATGGAACTTGGCTAACACGACCAAGAGAAAGAGGCACATAGCTGAAACTTTGACTTTACTATAAATAGGGCTTGGATGTTCTACTTGACAGTGAGTGGATTTTTTCTTAGTGGTTTTTCTAATTTTTGCAATAAATTTACTCAAATCCCTACCTGACTTCCAGTTCTGGTATCAGCCACAAAAAGCCTGATATTATATATATGAAATAAACATTAGAGACTTTTGGACCCTATTTCCATATTATCAGAAAGGGAATAGTGACTCTTCTTTTCATAGAAACCATACAATTACATTGCCACTCCTTTGTGATTCAGTTATCTTTCTTTTCCTGTGTCAGGCACAGGGAGACTCAAGGTTTTTAGAAGGTGCTACCTTCTAATGTAAGTAAGAACATTGACATTACTAAGCACAACAGCCAAAGCTGTACTGATTCATTCCAACCACTCCTGACCTCTCCTGAAGATATGATGTTGGATGTTGTGCAAAGAATAGTTGCTATGGAACTTGCCCGGCTGATCATACCATGTTTTCAGAATAGTTTGTTTCTGCTTTACCTGTACATAGTCTCTGCTTCCACATCTCCAAACCAAACTTTCAAATTTGCGTGGAAGTAGTTGCCTTGGACTTCTAGCATTGCCACATCCCCTCCTCCTGTCAGCTGTGAAAAACAAACCCAAGCATGGGATCATCCATCTTATCATGAGGGTACAATAACCAGCACTCTGTCCAAATCCTGCACCTCTGGACATTAAAACATACATATTCATATCTTGTATTGGAAGGCTTCTTGGCTACCCCCCCCCCCAGGATTCCATGGGAGAAGCTATTGCTTCATTGTCAAGAACTTGCTTTGCCTAAAGAAGACCCTTTTTTAATTCTTGGCATCTGTTGATGGGATTGGGAATCTTCTATTGTCAGTTTGAATAGAAAACATTGCATTAGTTAGACCAATAATCTAAAGTAAAGCAGCCCAAGGTTTGTATGCTTGTGTTAGGGCAGAGAGGGACAACCTGAACTTTTAGGACTTATGGTCCTCCAAAGCCTGGGGGTGTAGCCCTCAGAGTGAGTCCAGATCACACTGTAATTTTTAATATGATAGAAAGCCAAAATTATTAAATATACACAGAATAATGGCATTACTTATGTTTAATATATTTATCTTAAATTTTAATTTAAATAAATTTAGCTTTATTCAGAGCAGGCTCAAATTGGATGCATTATGTGAAAACAGAGCTCTCTAGAGAAGGCTCTAATGCTGGGAAAGATAGAAGGAAAGAGAAGAATAGGATGACCAGCAGCAAGGTGGATGGCAATGGGTGCACCATTGGAAGACCTGAAAGACCAGGTTAGGGACAGATTGTCATAGAGAAAATCTATCCATGTGGTTGCTAAGAGTCAACACTGATTTGATGGCACATAATCAATTTATTCAGAGCCCACATACTTTTTGGAATTTGATCCTCAGCACATCACTTAAAAGCCAAGTGTGGTTCTTGGCCTGAAAAACATTAGACATTACTTGGCTGTACTCTAGGGCAGGTCTGCACAACATGTGGTCTGTGGCCCACATGAGGCCTGCTGGCATTTTTTAGAAATGTAATAAATTCACTGCTGTTGTCATTGCCCCAAAAGATGCACTGCCAAGTGCCTCCAGGCCTCCCTGCCATCACCAGCTCCAACACTGTTCTGTAGCCACTGAACAGCTGATTGCCATGCCAGGTATTCCTTTGCAGCTCGCAATTATTTTTTTAATTTATCAATGTGGCCATTTCCCCTCTACAAATTGTACAGGCCTTCTCTAGGGTGTTAGGATAGGCAGGTAAGAACACTTAATACCTGAATGTGAACATTTGTTGGGTATATCTGCATATATATTTAAACTCCTTCCAAAGTTGTTCTTGTTTTCAGGTAAAAGAATGCTGAATTCTTGAAATTACAGAAATTGTAGTTCTGTAAAAAGGTTAAGGAATCTAACAAACATTTTACTCCCCTCTTCCCATTAGAATTACACGTCCAAGGTAAAGCAGGTTGATAACAGAGATATACTGTACTTTGGGAGTTTTAGAAGTAAGAAAGAAGAATATGCAATGGAAAACGAATCCATTGGAGCATGGTGGGCAGGAGCCTATCACTTTTGTAATGCCAATAGGCTGGAAAACATGAACCTCTCCAGAGGTTGCTGAACTGTTAACACCTGTTGTCACTGAACACCAGCCATCCAATCTAGGGCTGAGTGTTGAACTCCAACAATACCTGGAGAACAGCGGTTTCCCAGTCTTCTGCCATAATCAAGCCATGTTGGGAGGGGGTGAAATGTATTAATGCTTATAGAAGTCACAGTAATAAATAAGTAATTTATATGGGAAAGCAGAAGTCTTTGACATAGTTCATATAATGTAGTTTCCAAACTGCATTAAGACAGCAGAAAAACAAACAAACCTCAGGTTATGCCTATTTTTATGCCTTCCATCTGAATGCATCCAAGACATGGAGGAACACAAGGGACCAATATAATCCTTCATTTTGGCCCCATCTACAAAATATATCTTTCTGTACCCACACTTCAGCTTCTGCTTTCCTTTCTCTAAGGAGCTCCATAATAGCCTTGTTGTTGTATTCTACATTAATTCATCCATACAAATTGCCAGTCTCTGGTTCAGTGAAAACTGAATGTTCTGTCTAAGCTGTTTATAAGATGGTTGTACAAGTAAAGAGTAATTTCATATAATCCACATAATCTTGATTGCCATTTCAAGGAAAGAAAGACAAAATGAACTTTCAGCTTTTGATGTTAGGGCTGGAGATGAAGTCATTAAGATGAATTAGCCAACATTTCTTCCCCTGATTTTTTGCACAAAGCAGCAAGGCAAAAAAGCAGGAAAAACCCCTCTACATACCTCCAAGGTTGTTATAAGAGGGACAGGGCCCACCGGATCCTGGATGCTGGTTGGGCTGAGGCTGAATGAGTATTCCACTGTTTCTGTTCCAATGATGGTCCAACAGGAACTGTCATTCAGCAATTCCCGATTTGTTTCTTTGGGACAAGGAGATGCCTGCATAGCAATAAACATCAATTTTGAATATATTCACCAATGGTATTTACAAACCACTTTTCTGCCCACCGAAATACAATTATTCTATAAAATCATCACAAAAACAAAGGAAAAAAAAAAGGAAAGAGAGAGAGAGAGACACTTACTTAAAACAACCCAAAGCAATATTAAAATTCTTTAGAAATCAGCGAACACTTGCTTAAAATGCAAGAGAGATGGAGCCAGCCTGACTTTGGAAAAGAGTTCCATAGCCTTCTATTTAGAGCTAAGGAATTGAACCATGGCAGTGTTTTTCAAACTTGGCAACTTTAAGATGTGTGGACTTCAGCATGCTGGCTGGGGAATTCTGGGAGTTGAAGTTCACACATCTTAAAGTTGCCAAGTTTGACTGAGGCAACTTTTTGTGACTGCACTGGCCATGCAGCTATCCAAATTTCCATGCTAGCTAGGAATCCTGGGAGTTGTAGTCCAGATATTGTGAGTGAAAGGTTGGGGAAGCCTAAACTAAGCCCTAACTCATATTATCTGAACAATATGGTAGTTGTCACTTTGTACTAATGTTTGATAGAATTATGTTAGTGAAATAATGAAGTGCTTGAATAGTGGAATTATGCAGTTTACATATACTTGCAACTTTCCATTTCAGTATTTCTAGCCTGCAAAAAAAGCGCAGGGGAACTTTTTTAGGATCTTCCCATTCCTATGCTGCTGAAATGACCTTGGTTATGGTCATGGGGAAACAGCAGTCACATCCAATTCAGGTAAACCTTGGTCAAGCTTTGCCAATTATTTCAGTTTGCTCAGGGGCCAATGTAGATAGCCATCTGTAATTCTCTAGTTGTGGCCAATTAATATAGGTAGTCCCTGGGTTAAGAATGCCTGGTTTAAGGATGACCCATAGTTAAGAACGGAGCCTATTGTAACAAAATTTGAGTTAAATACACAATGATTTGAGTTAAATACACAATGGATCAAGTTAATCACACAATACTATTTATACAATATTATACAATAATACTGTTCTGGCTTACATACAAATTTGATTTAAGGACAGACTTTGGGGATGGAACTCGTTCCTAAACTGGGGACTATCTATACTGATACATTATAATGTACTTTTCCTTCTGGCAAGTCCCAATTTTCATGGGAAAAAAAGGGAAGTGGTGTCTGTATGGTCTATTCAGATAGTCTTCTGCATATATTGAACACATGAAGGGAAAAGTGATGATGTGCATGTTAGTTCAACCCATCATGGCCCTTCTCTTTACCTTCTATGAGTAGGAGGTAAACTTCACAGGTGTCTAGCACTAGTTTTCTAGGGTGTTAAACTGTATATGGATTGTGCACTCCCAGAAGCCTCATCAGTTCAAAAGATCTCTGTTTATTCTTGGAGGGTTAATGAGGATGGGTGGAACTTACTTGCTCATCTGCTTCCTCTTCTCATTTGTAGATTGGATTTCTTCCTCTGAGTACAAACAAGCACATTCTTGTTTGTACTCAAACAACCTGAACAGCTTCAAACTTTGCTGCTGCCTGCATTATATTTAGTTCCAGGCTAGGTTGGTTACTGGAAGACATCTGCAGTGTTTGCTTCCAACCACAATTTAGGATCTATTGTCACTGATAAAGCTCTTGGCAGGAGAAAGTGAATAACAGTCTTATGGAAAGATCAAGAAGCCATCCAAAATGCTTTACCTTGTTCAGTCTATAAGCTTTGCTTCATTCTAGGCAACTTATCCCCAGAGTAACTGTATAGTTCATCAAAAAGATGGCTGGATTAGCCATCATATTATACCCATACTAATGCATGTAAATAGGCAAGGGAGCAGCATGGGCTGATGCAACCAGCATCCAGATATAATATTAGGCCTGGATATGGAGAAAATGTGCAGCTTATTCTCTAAATCATTTTTATGTGTCACCTTTACTATAATACTATGTCGCTAGATGAGATGGGCAGCCATATAAATCAAAATAATAATAATAATAATAATAATAATAATAATAATAATAATAATAAAACATCTGCTTATCCCAGGTCCTTGGAAAGGACTCGATAGGTGGATAAAAA